CCCACATGCAGAATAGGGACTAATGGGCATAACTGTCTGCTAAGGTTCATAGTACTTCAGACACTTTTAAAGGTGAGTGAATAAAAGACAGTAATATACTTGCAGACTCCTGAAAATTTGCTCATCATAATATAAAAAGATTTTTTTGTACTGGCTTCATTTATCATTAGTTACAGTTGAAGACATTTAACTGAATTAAGTGTTTTCTGACAGTCTGAGCTACAGGACATAGATTTATGGGAAATAATTTTGCTATGGTAACAGGAAAGAGCTGACATTGCTCTGGGAAATTGATCACTGACAGAGGCTTTTCTTTCTCTTTGAAAATTCTGCTTATACAAGTTCAGGAACATTTTTCTCAACAGTAAGATGGCAAAAACACTTGGCTAGTGAGCCTTGAAATTTTTTTTTTTGCCATGTCAAAAAATGCAAGTGTTGAGAATTCTTTCTTGTAGATTGGTGTAATTCAAAGATGGTGGAAATTCTCTTGAAAAAAATTATTGACAGATGTGTTAGTAGCTATGCAATTAGAGGGTTTATATTAAGCAGATTCTGGTATTTTGAGTTATATAACTTCTAGGTATGTTAATGAACTCAATAATTATTTATTGAAAATTATAATAGAATTAAGATTAATTTTCTGCTGTTAATACAATTCTCTTATTTAGGTATTAATGTTATAAATGGCACTGTGACAATTTCCATTGTGGGAAATGTGCTTGGTTATATTAATGTGATTCTTAAAGGTTAGCAAAGACATTTATGATATGTTACACTTTAAGAAATAGTGAGTAATATGTCATCATGTGATGCGAGGGATATATACAGAGAGTGCTACATCAAGAAAACCATGGGGAGAGTTGATTGGGGATAAGAATTATGGACATAATTTTGGAATCTCAGAGAATAAAGCTGAAGTTGTAATATTGCTTTAAAATAACTAAACACACGCTTTTTTTTTTTTACAACATTTCACATTATTCACATCTTTCCATTCTCATCGTATTATAGTTTCCACAAAAGATTCAAATGAGGAGAATTCATCTTCCATCTTTCCTTATGGAGAGACCTTTCTCTTCCAGAAACTAGAAAATTCCAAGGTTAGTCCCATACAGTTTAATATTTTTCTGTATTCAATTCTTGGCTCTTCTGCTTATATTTGCCGTTTTATTTTCCTGTAAGCTGTTTGAAGAATGTGTTATATTGAAGAATGAAATTTTCAGTCATTAAAATTCTGTTCAGTAAAATCATGGTAAATTTATATTTTTAAATATATATCACAAAATCACATTTTTAGTTTGATTTGAGAACAGCGGGTTTTTGAAGTTTTCTGCAAGATAAGTTACTTAAAACAAAACAAAACAAAAAAATGAAAAAAAACATAAAATCAAAAGCAAACTAACAAGCATCCCCAAGATTTTGCTTTGCCTTATACCCAAATATAGACTTCTACCTATTTATATATCTTAATTATTCGGTTTATCACTTATTCTTTCCACTCCAGTACTTGTGCTCAATTGCTATTTTATTTCTTGGTCATGATAAAGAGAAGTTGGAAGACAAAAAGTAAATGGGAAAGTAAAAGTAAATAAATTTTATTCTTGGTTAGCAGCTTTTGTTTCTTTAGTTGGAATAATGAATTATTAATAATTTAAATAAAATATTGAAGAAGGCATCAAAAGGCTACTGTTTAATATAGTCTCCCTAATTAAATTGATTTTCCTGAAAATTGATCTAAGCAATTAGACATTGGCTTAATAGAACTAAAGCCAAATGTTGTGGATCTTTGTAGAATATTGCTACCCTAAAAATAAGTGCATTGTTTTTTTAATAGAAGAAATCTATAAAGAATGAATTTTGGACCCATGAAGGAACACTCAAAATGGAAGGAGCTACTGAAAGAAACTCTTTTCTTGTCACATCAAGGTATGAGGTTATGATTGGTGATGGTTAGTTCTTCTGAATAAAATGGTGACTTCTTGCTCTTAATATAATATTTATAAGAAAATAGTTTGCATTAGTAAGTTAAACCTTTTCTTTTTGAATGTTTCAAAAACAGAACTCATTTTAATAATTAAATTTAGAGTCTGTAAATCAAGTTCATAATGATATTCTGTAGCAGATCAGTTTTGTCTTTCCCTAAGTGAAACCACTCTCCCCTCCCCGAAGTGGCAAATATGTGGTGACTATGATTGCACTTTAAAGATGAGAAATTATATTAATATGAAAGAGAAAGGGGCAGTGCAAAAAAATGTCACTATGTGAGGTGCAGGGTTTTTACAGATGTAATATAGTATCCTTTTTATTGGAAGTTCAGCATTGACAAGTGGCTTGACAGTTATCTAGTTATTTGGGTCACCCATAGCATTGACAAGTGGCTTGACAGTTATCTAGTTATTTGGGTCACCCATGAAATTAAACAGTTTGTAAGGCACCAGCTTCAGTTTTATTTTTCTCTCAGTTTTATTAGGGTTTGGTGTACTGGATTTTTACTTAACGTTGGTTTTATCTTCTGTTTTACCCTTCATTTCCCAAAGCTAACACTGTTGTGGATCTCCTTAAGTTGAAACTAAACTTAAGGAAAATACCAAAACTTAAGGAAGATACTAAAATAGTAATTGAGTATCTTTGGCAAGCCTTTGATGTGAACCTATGATAATGCAAAATGTAGAAAGTGCCAGGTGAAATCATTCTTTACGGAAGTAGTGATTTTTAGAACACTGTATCCAGAAGGATATAATTTGACCCCTAGGGATATCTGTTTTATTGATTATCAAAACATTATTTACAATGAGTTTTATTATACATAAATTACTCAGCGCATCTATTTTGTCATTCCTTAAATTTATAGCAATATGCTTACCCATCATAAATATGTTCCAGTAAATATTATATGCTGCACAGCTTTTACCTTCTGAGTACCCTGGCTCTTTCTCATTTTTTGGCTACCAGTGGGGCACAGTTTTTCCTCATTAGCATTGCAAAATTGTACTAAAGCTTTCACCAATCAGAGATACTCCCTGTTTTATTACATTAGGATGGAACACAGTCCATTGAGCTGATTAGTGGAGAGCCAGAGGAGTTTGGAAGTAAGATCTCCAAAAAAATAAGTTCATGGTTCCTGATGTTGTCCAGGGACTAGAGCTTGGGCTGCCCATTTAAAGGTGCTGATGAAGATGTTTCAATTGTGATGCAAAGAATATCCTCAATCTCCATCCTTACCACCTGCATCCAATCCCCAAAATAAACAGATCAGATTAAATTATACATAAGAAAAAATACACTACTTCTAGTAATGTTTAAATATGTTTAGGATAATAAGAGATGTCTATTTAAGTTTTCTGGAGAGTTTTTAAAATTCTCAGATGGGTTAATTGAATTCTAAGGTTTCCCTTAATTTTGGCCTTAAATTTTGGCAGTTGGTTATTTATAACTTTAAAAAGTAATCCATGGCTTAAATGACATACAGCACTTTGAAATGTTTACACCATACTTTTCCGTTTTCTGTTTAGCATATATGATAACAGGAAGGAGAATGTAAGTGAAGACAAAGCGGAAGACATTTGGATACCTCGAGAGGACAAAAACAGCCTTCCGATAGACTCTGCTTCAGATTCAGAATATTCAACAGTTGAAGAATGCTTTCAGAGCTTAAGAAGAAAAAATTCGAAGGCATCTAAGTCTAAGACTCAAAAACCATTGAATTTGGACCCTGTTAATAGGCATAGTTATCCGTTAAGCTCAACAAGTGGAAATGCTGCTTCATCCGCCATTTCCTCAAATGCAATATCTCCTTATGCCTGTTTTTATGGATCATCTGTAAGGAAGGTGAAATCGGGATGGCTAGACAAACTCTCCCCTCAAGGGTATGTATTTATTCATTTTTCTTCACAAGTAGCATATTTTAAAAAAGTGAAGTTTATCCATTTCTAAACCTTCTAGGTTGCTGCTTCTCTCTACCTCCTCCCACTCCCTCCCCTCCGCCTATAGGATACAGTTTTTAGGGACTTTCAACACACTTTTTCAACACTCTTCTTTAGTCATAGGGAGGCACATGTGCAGCGTGCTCCACGGAATGCTGGGTTAAGGTTCTGGATAACAAAACCGGAAATTAGGATTCTTAAGGTTAGTTTCTCACTTTGCACCAAAATGCACTATCCTGTGTCCCAGTTTGTAGCAAAGAAAAACAACATAGATTGAGTTAGTATTACTCAGCCCACACTGGCTTTTGCTCATGTTGTAACAGTGTTCTGTTTGGGAATACAAGGCTTATTGTAGTTAATGGAAAGTACGCCATTGTTAGATTTCCGGCTTCACTGTTACGGATATATTGTTTTGACTTTTGTATGTTGCACAGAAGGTCAGAGTCCCTTGAATATTATACTTTTCAAACAGATGTATCATTTATGTTTACAAAGAAACTTCCGTCCCTCCAGCAATTTATAGTACTGAGAAATCTTTGGGGAGGGTTTATGTTTAATTAGAATTGTTTCCGGGCACCTTGATTTTTGGATGTCTTTTTGAAATACTTACTTGAAATGTTCCTTATGAATTATTAAATTATTTTGGGGTCAAACCTGCCATGTTTAAGTAATTAATGTGGTGAGTCTCTGTAATGTGCTGGTTTTATCTACTATTCTCCCCAAAATGTGCATCATTAATAGAAAGCCTTCGTTTGACCTAAAATAAATTTTATTAGCAAAAAACTACCAGAAGAAGCATGAGTTGACTAGCGAGAGCAGGAATTAAATTTCTTAAGAAAGAAAAAAAAACAAAAAACAGAAACAAAACCCAACACTTTTATTGTTAGTAGTTATGTGGTTAATACATCATTAGAATGACAAAGTAGTCAGTCAGCTATGTCTACTTTTCATCAGCCATCAAGATTACGGGTAAATGCACAGTCAAATAGCAAAGATGTCAGTCAGCACTCAAACACTGATAGAATGCAACAGTGGGCTGGAATATTCTCAACTCTTTCATTTCTATGAAATTTAAGTGATTAGGGAGTTTTACTGCTCTCTCAAAATATTGCCGGAAGATTTCACAGAGCCCTCCGCAGCTGTGATTTCCTGTGTGATCTCCAGTGGCTCCTGCTCTCATAGAGTTCGCGCATATGCACCGAGAAAGCGTCGCCATCCTTGGCCACCTCTGGGACAGTTAGACTATTTTCCCTTTCTGTTTATCAGAACTCAGACTTCCCATCTTTTCTATTCTGACCTTCCCTAAGATTAAATGCTGTAAGCTTTCTAGATTTATATTCGATTTTAGGGGAAATAATTGAGTTTTCTGGCTTAGAAGTTTTTCTCCTGGATACCAAGATGAACGGAGATAGGAAAGTAAATAAAGGAGGTTGTTATATCACCAAGAAATTTAGAAATCCTTCTTCATGATGGTATTGCTATGGCTGGAAAGAAATATATGTAACTGGCCAAGAAACATGTCTTCATTAGGCCAGAAGTAGAATCTGATTTTTTCCTCTTCTTCATTAGACTCTGTAGGCCATTCTGAGGTTGGGTAAGATGCTCATTAGTTAAAGTGATGCCTCCCCATTCCTTATGCAGAGGTTACTGAGCTTTGTTAAACTCGTAGTCACGTGTCTCTTGGTGTAGGTAGCACTGGTTTAGATGACATTCTGAGTTCCACAGAGAAGGTATTAGCAAACTTTTTCTGAAAATGGCCAGATAATAAATATTTTAATCTCCCAGCTATATGAGCTCTATGGGACATCAGCAGCTCAGCAGTTGTAGCATGAAAGCAGCCATAGAGTATATGTAAGCCAATGCATGAGGCTGTGTTTCAATAAAACTTTATTTATAAGTACAGATAATGGGCCAGATTTGGCCCATGGACCATAGAGGTACAAGACGGATTAGATGGTTAGCTAAAGTCTTATGTCAGCTTCCTCCATCTCCCCTGGACCACAAATAGAAAATGATAACCTGCTAGATGACAGAATAGGGAAACCACTTTTTATTCTTTTATTAAATATACGAGTAATAAGAAGGAAGAGCCCTCCTCAGGGATGTTTGCCCTTGTTCTTCTCTCTGCCTGGGATGCTGTCACCCAGAGAGCAATGTGGCTTGTACCTGACCTCCCTCAAATTCTTGCTGTAGTGTCTCCTTTGCATGGAGGCCCTGAACACCAAATTTAAAATGATCAGTGCCCCTCCCCCCACCACCCCATCACTCCCTTAATTACTTTAGTTTTCTCTATGGGACTCATATACTAGATGATCTGTTTACTTCATGCAAGCTCCATGGGGACAACATCTATATTGGCTTTGTTTACTGTGATCTCCTTAGTAGCTAGAACGTTGCCTGGCACGTGGTAGATGCTCTTAGTATTTGTTGTTGAGTGAATCATTAAAAATAACACCTATCATTGGACATCTCTTTTTCTTTAAATTTTTCTAAAACAGCTGGTTTTTATCTATATGGATTTTGTAAACCTGAACTCTAAGCACTATATTGGTTGACAATCTGCAGGTACCATCGACAGAGGTGGTATACACTAATATAAATTATAATTGTTCTTTTTATGATTGTTCCTCCTTAAAGACCCTTACATGTATTAATAGAAACATTAATGTATTCTTACATGTATTGTCAAAACACAGTTTTAAAAACAAATAGCCATACCCAGTTATCCTTCTCCAAATACTGTTTGAAACTGTCCTCAGTCATGAGTGACATGAAACAAAATAACCAAATTCATAATCTGGATTTACCTTACATGATTGAGTAGATTTACTTTTGAAATGGAAAGGCTGGCTCAGAACTCATGAACAGTAGTGGAGACTGCCCAATATTTAGTAAGAAAATAACTGTGTAATATTGTGTAACTAAAGAAATACTGAAACATTCCCAGTTGAGCTTATGGTATGAAATATATTTAAGTATTTGAAGCATCTAATTTTTATATAGCCTGATACTGTTGGTTTACAAAATTGTATGTAATGAACTTGATAAAATGTTGAACACATCGGTCTGTTATTAGTAGTTCAAATACATCAAGCAGATGAAAAACTTAATAAATGGTACTTTTTAAAAAAAACTCACTGGGCTTCAAGGGTTAAAAACAAGTCTCTCCCCTTCCCCTTTTCTAGCTATAGCTAATAAGCTTAAGCTTTTCAGCATTATCTGAGTAGATGCAAATATGAAAGGCTGCTTATAATTTATTCCAGCATTTTCCAAATATGTAACTCAGGAAGAATCCTGCAAGTTGCTGTAAAGAAAAGAAAACATGGTTGAATATGCTGTACCCCTTTTGGAAGATGCACATAATGAAATATCCAAGAATATCTGCAATAAGAAAATCCTTTTAATTTTGACTAGCTGTTTTCTAAAGACATTTGTTCAGCATACCACACCGAACACATTTTTAAAAACTGCATTATATCTTGAATTCATATTTTACTTGACAAGATGTCTTAGGACTTTATTTTTTACTCAACTAACTTCTCTTTTTAAATTAGTATTGATTGTTTAATCATGGAGAAGCATTTTGTGACAATGTGAGCCTGAGAGAGCAGGAGCTGAACACGAGGCTAATTCAGCAATTTGACTAAAAATATTCTTTAGAATTTCTGGCGGAATACAAAGATAAGTAAGATGTGTGTATGTGTTCCTTTCCTTTTTTGTATCTTATGAAAATTTAAAAAGATTTGAAAATTAAAAAAGGCCAAAGGACAAAGTATAATAATTGGTACAGAAAGTTCCACAGAGTATTATAGAATCCTAAGGTTACAGAGTGATTGAGAAAAACATGTCTTCAAAGAATTTAGAGGGAGAAGTAGCAGTTCATTTTGGTCTTTGGAAAATGGATACATTTTGAACTGGTATTTTTACGTGAAATACTGTTTTGGTTTGAGGGAGTGAAAGGGCATGGACATAGGCAGTATCTGGAGGTGCTGCAGTCTGCGAGGCAGATAGCAAGGGTTCGCTGGGGTTATTTTATGGAAGATGCAAGATGGGGCTCTAGGATCAAGAGGGAGAAGGTGCCAGTGGATTTCAAGTTCAGGTTGAGCAGAGAACTAGGGAAAATCAAAAGGCCAATGATCAAATACCAAGAAGAGATGGAATCCCAGACAGTGGTTGGGAGTCAGATCTCTCAGAAGTCAGTAGCCCATGACTAGGTGGGAGATCACAGCTTATCCTGTTGGCAACATTGTCAGCATCTGACTTTCCAGCCAGTGTGCAGCCTCTAAGACGGCTTTAGTGGAGCCCTCCCACTCCATGGCACACATGTGTGTGAGGGCAAGCCTCTTAGGAATGCTGTCCTGTTGCTGGCCTTTGCATGAAAAGAAACTGTAGGGGAAACTTGACAAGTTTCTGTCGTACCAGTTTGCGATGTATTAATCACCTTTTTGAACATAAAGTTGAATCTTAAATCTCTGATAGAAAGTATCTTTTTATAGTACGGGCAAACTAGTTGGCCATTTCTCAAATCATCATTGCTTGTAAAGGCTGTGCCAAGCAAATAAAAAGCCTCACTATTTTTATTTGTAGTTTGAGGGAAAAAAAATGCTTAGTTTTAGTGTTTATTAAAATAACATGGCTTATTTCTTTGTCAGCCCCACTGCAGAGAAATGAATGAGGCCATTGGAATCAGACAGACTGAAATTAGTGTTGTCAAACTGTCGTTTATGGACTGTGTGACTCAGTGTCTCAGAACCTCCATTTGCCACACAAAAGCGTAAGGTCAAGACTTCCTCTGTGGGGTCATTTGGAAAGGTAGATAACATTGTGCCTGACACTTAATCAAGGCTCCATCAGTTTTCTTCCTCTTCAGAAGAGCATCATTTTATTTCAGGTAATCTTTGATGATGCTTCTGAAAGTGAGTTCTAGTCAGTTCTTTTCTTGG